AGTGTCCAATAGTGTTCTGATCAGAATCCCTCTCTACAACAGAACAGAACTACCCTATCTATAACAAGGAACTCCTTACAATTGTCTGTTCTTTAGAGGAGTAGTGTCAATATCTCCTTAGTACTGTACAGAAGTTTAAAATTTAGAGTAATCACCTTAATCTCTAGTACTTCTGAGTGCCTCAGAAGCTCAACTACTACTAAGCCTGCTAGATGTTAGAACTGTAAGACTACAACTTTGTACTGACCTACAAACTCAGAATACAAATAATGAAAACTGATTTACTCTTAAGACAAGTAGGTTATGAAAGGAGGGAGAATAATAATGAAAATCTTGTTCTCCTAGACAATTCCTGTTTTGTGTCTGAGACAATCTAAGAGATCTGACTCAAATCTGAGGATGTTAACTTTGTCACCTGTATACAGTAAGCTCTGAGACACACACAGGACTGGGTCATAGTAAAGTAGCTAGAGAAGCAGGCTAGGGATTAGGAGGAGGATAAGAATGGACAGGTTTACTAGAAAGGCCAACTGTACATTCTAAAGGATTGGAAGCTGTAGGAGGACATTGTCTGAGCTTATTACAACAATCTGACTATAGAACATTCAGACTAACACAAAACACAGGAACTTATTACTCAGAACTACTAGTGGTTAGGAATACAGAAGGAAATCCTAAAGTACATGACTGGTTATAATATGTACTAATAGACTAAGGCCTACTAGACAAGAGTTTAGGCTCTCCTACATCTGTATTGGATCCTGGATCACTCTTAGGAAGAAGTCTCAGTAGACCTGATTAGTGAGCTACCTGAGTCTCAGGGTTATAATACTATCTGTGTAATTGTTGACTGATTCTCTAAGTAAGTCTATACAGTTCTGACCTAAATGGAACTCACTTCTGAAGGTATAGTGTGTATCTATCAGGATCATGTCTTCCAGTTACACAGACTCCCTCAGAAGCTCATTCATGATTGTAGACTGTAATTCAAGTTAAAGTTCATGTAAAACTTGTATGTACTTCTCAGAATTCAAGGGAACCCTTCTACTGTATATTACCTACAGACTGACAGTTAAACTGAGTAAGTCAATCAGAAGATTGAGCTCTACCTCTAGATGTTTATCAATCATTAGTAATCAGACTGGTCTGAATAGTTAGCTTTAGCAGAATTTGTACACAATAACTGACAACACTCTGTAACAGGACAGTCCCTGTTCTTCCTCAATCATAAGAGACATCTGTACTAGGAGACAGTTCCAAACCAGAACAGTAGTTCTGAATCTATAACAGACTTTGTAGGATGGATACACAGGACTAGAGAGGATGTATGAGCTCTTTTAGAGAAGGTAGTACAGGTTATAAAGTAGAACTATGATTGGAAGAGGTCTGTAGCTAAGGATTACTAGCCTAGTAACAAGGTTATACTAGAAGCTACTAATCTGACCTTAGATCACCTAATGAAGAAGTTGGACAACAAGTGCTTCAGACCCTTTATCATTGAAAAGAAGGTTAGTACCTCTGTCTACAAACTCTAACTTCCAGCAACATGGAAGTGTATACACCTAGTGTTTAATAAGGTTCTGTTGTCTCAGTACTACAATCCTAGTTTTCCTTTACAACAAAGACCCCCTCTGTCTCTACCAGAACTCATTAGCTCTGAACCAGAATACAAAGTAGAGTACATAGTAGATACTAAACTACTGTATAGAAAACTCAAATTCCTTGTTCACTAGAAAGGGTACTCAGTTGAGGAGCACACTTAGGAACCTGCTAAGAACCTTACCTATACTTCTAAGACAATCTGAGATTTCTATCAGCTTCATCCTAGTACTCTGTACAAACTCAGCCTTACAGATTTCCAAGCCCTGTTGTTCTGACCTATGTCTGAGCTACTAACTAAGTCCAATATTCACTAATCAGGATGATTGGTTTTAGAGGAGGGGTGATGTTATAATTCTCTACTCTCATACCTTTAGTTTCAAGGGTTCTACACCCTTCTGTACCAGAACTCAGGACTTCTGTCCCTTAGGAGCACCATCTATAGACTATATGTGTACTGACTCTTACTACTACCCTTCCTTACTTCATCATTCTATTCTTTTGACTACCCCTTCATTCTTTGTTCATTCTATAGTCTCTTACCCTTTGTCTATCCCTTTATTCTTTGTACCTTTATCTTTGACCTTCCTTTCTTTCATTCTTCATAGCTTATCATTCTTAGTAGCTCATACTCCCTGAGTACTCTTGTATAGTTTAGTATATATAGGTGTACAAGATCAGACTGGTCCTGTAGTCTTGATCTTGTCTACTCTAGATAGTCCTGTACTCTTAGGCTCACTCTATAAACTCTACTCTTGTCTCACTCTCTCTCCCTGCCTGTTCTGCAAGTTCTGACTATGTTCTAGTACTTACATTCTGTATTTCTGTTGTGTAGAATAGTTGTAGCCTGGGTCCCCTTACTGAGCCTTCAAGTCCCCTCTATACTGTTACTAACATGAGGTGACTTCTGGATTTGTAGAAAAGGCTTCTTGCTACAAATCCTGCTTGTTACTTGTTATTACTCTAATAACCTAACAGATATACTGTCACTTCTGTAGACAGTCCTTAATCTAGTACTCTGACTTTCTGTAGGCAAAGTATGCTTCTTACTTTCAGACTTCTCTAATGTTTATCAGAACAGATTGATTGTGAATTACAGGTGGATTGATCTGAGGGCTCAGAACTGTTAGAGCTAGACACATATACAAGCATTCTGTACAGACTTAATACATTTGAGTCACAGCTTAGTCAAAGGAAATGGCACATGTCTTCTACTTAGTGTAAGTGACCAGTTCTAGTATCATTCTAAGAATCTTATTAACCAGTTCTGAGTGAAGAGCTTTTTCAAGCATTCTGATAAGGACATTATCAAACCTGAGCACAAATCCTACCTTCTAGGCTAGGATATTGAACTCCTGAAAGAAGGTATTAGTAGAATGTTTGTCCTGTTACAGAGACACAAGCTTGTTCTGTATATTGTACTTCTCATTCAGATTAATGAAGGAAGTACAGAGCTGCCTTATGAATTCTGAATACAACTCATTGTTCTAAAGTTGGATCAGACTTCTAATCTAATGTCCTTTGATCTAGTTCTGAGCCTAGGTGGTTATGTTACCTTCCTTCATGAAGGAGAGGACAAATAGGACACAATCAAGATCTGAGGATAGATTGGTTGAAGTAGTAGCTATGTATAGTTCAACTTAGTACTGGAAGTCCTTAAAGTACTACCTATTAAAGTCTGAAGGGCAGGCTACATACACTTTCTTTCTAGAACAGGTTGTAACTTCCAGAATGATTAGAACAGGTTCTGAAGGGGTTAAGAGCACATAGTTAGTAAAGGCCTCTTAAATAGAGGTCTACACATATTAAGCTAGTTCTACTTGTAACTACTGATCTGGCAGAACAGTAGGGGTGGCAGTCAGTGTAGGAGGGTCCATGTTTACACTATAAAGGAATCAGTACTAAACTAAAAGGGGTAATGAATAGAAGAAGGGTGGCAAAAGTTTAAAAGGGTTTAAAAAGTTTAAAATTTAAAAATGTAAAAGGGTTGGGACAAAGAAAAGAGATTGATGTAACAGTAAGTACTGATGCTCAAAACATAGGAGAGTTGTAGGGTGGTAATGAGTAGTCTTGATTTAATGTTAGTAACAGTGTAGAGGGGACCCAAAGGCTTAGTGAGGGGACCCAGGCTACAACTATCCTACACAACAGAAATACAGAATGTAAGCACTAGAACATAGTCAGAACTTGTGGAACAGGCAGAGAGAGAGAGTGAGACAAGAGTAGAGTATATAGAGTGAGCCTAAGAGTACAGGACTACCTGGAGTAGACAAGATCAAGACTACTAGACCAGTCTGATCTTGTACACCTATATATACTAAACTACACAAGAGCACTCAGGGAGTATGAGCTACTAAGAATGATAAGCTATGAAGAATGAAAGAAAGGAAGGTCAAAGATAAAAGTACAAAGAATGAAGGGATGGACAAAGGGTAAGAGACTATAGAATGAACAAAGAATGAAGGGGTGGTCAAAGGAATGGAATGATGAAGTAAGGAAGGGTAGTAGCAAGAGTCAGCACACATATAGTCTATAGACAGCACCCCTGAGGGACGGAAGTCCTGAGTTCTGGTACAGAAGGGTGCAGAACCCTTAGAACTGAAGGTACAAGAGCAGAGAATCGTAACACAGAGGCAATCCAAACTTGTCTTTGTTTGACATGTTGTTTCTACTTCCTGAATTGTCTTTAATACAGCTTGTCCAGCATGCCCTATTTCATCATGTATTATTTTATGGGTTGGTAATATGTCTCAGTGTATTTATATTCGATTCTTATTTGTATCACAATGTCTACTAGTACTGTTGTAATGCTACTGTTCATTTGTACATCCCTACACAAATGGTCCACAGTCTAGTCTACAGTCCAGACAGTCCAAGCTGGTCCAGGAAAATTCAAAAAAAAGTGGACTACAGACTGGACCTTTCCTGGACCAGACTGGACCTTTCCTGGACCAGACTGGACCAGACTGTATGTGACCCGGACCAGAGGTCTGGTCCAGGTCCGGCCCTGGTCCACAGTGGTCCAGGACTGGACAGTGGCAACTATAGGCGAGGGATGCGGAGAATGATGATGGCGAGGTGGATATATTGGTTGACACACTTCCATCAATGAGCCTGGAACATAACCAAATTGAGGTAAACAGCTTCTCCAAACCAAATGGCTACGTTTCTTCAACTCACGTGCCCACCCCTGTATTACAAATACACGGTCTGTTGACCATTGTGAATCTCAATACTTATGTTATCTGTGTCTCAGTGTGACGTTCGTCAACGACTCCACGTTGCACGAGGGTCTCAGCCTGTAACTGATATAGCCATTTTCTGGGTCGGGATTCTTGTCAGTAGTCCGTCCTTCCACCACAGTCCATCTCAAGGAAATTTCTCTCATTCCCCCTCCCACCATGAGCATTAATTCTCTTCCCTTGGAGATACTTGGTGTCATTTTCCACGAGTATGTGCGCAGTGCATACTTACGCGATGGGGAAATAATTTGGGCAGTTAGAATCTCGAGCGTTTGCCAACGATGGCGTGACGCAGCCCTCTCACTCGGTGTAATATGGACCTATCTGGACTACGACTTTCATTTCGAGCCACGGAAAAACCTGTTAGAGATTCTCGACACATGGCTTTGCAGATCTAATGGAGCACCACTTAATTTCTCGTTCATTTACAACCTTGAACACTGGCGGTCTGAAGAAGATAACGAAGTAGCCGAGCGTGCCGTTCTGATGTTGCTCTCTCACCAGTGGCATTGGGGGAAAGTCATGTTCAACTGGCAATTCATGACGTCTCCCAGCTTTTCAGGTATATGGCTTACAAACATGCCCAAATTGACATCGCTTAAATTGTATGTCAAGCTTGATGATGGCCGGTATAAAGGAGGCGGACGTATCGATTTCTCGCAGTCTTCGAGACTTGAATATCTTCACCTCAATTGTCCGATTCCTCTAGGCGTCGGGGACAAGCCAGTGTACTTGCCAGTGGCAGCAACGATCGATCTCGATCTGCATGGCCATTTCTCAGCACGTGCCACTGTGTCGCAATGCCTGGATGTCATTGAGGCGGCTCCGAATCTGAGGAAATTTCGGACTTCCTCCTGTACGGTCAACGAAGCAGTGAATTACGAGGAACGTCCTATCACTTCGCACAACCTCCGGATCCTTGTTCTACGGGGTGGCAATGCTTCACTCGTAATCAATAAATTGGATCTTCCCGCTTTAATGGTTTTGACATGCAGAGACGGCTACTCTGGTAGTGCAGACGAACATCTCATATCGTTTGTCAGACGCTCATTGCCACCATTAACTCATTTGGCGATCGGTGGCAACTGTACTGACGAAACCGCAGTTATGAACATTCTTCCGCTTCTGCCCCTACTTCGTGTGCTTAATATGGACCCTTGTACTGTTTCAGCACAGCTTTTTCTGTTCCTTTCTGCTCCAAATAACGCTGCTGCTGCAGAGGGTTGCATTCACAATCCACACAAGGAGACTGTGTGTCCTGATCTGGGATGTGTTTGCTTCTTTAACTATTCTGTCGTGGGGGGAGTACGTGAATGTGCTGATGCATTATGCACTATGCTGGAGTCGCACTGGGGTGTTTTGGAGCTGCATCGCGATTTGGTCGAGATTGGCAAGCCAATTTCTGGGGCTGATTGCAAAAGGGTGCAGCATCTTATCCAGAACACAGAGAACTTCCTTACTAGCAAGGGCAGAGACAAAAGGGATCTATCAGATTTCTGGTAGACCATATTATTTCTCTTTTTATGTATGCTAATTAATAATAGATATGCTACTATAAATTCAGTTTTCAATTATCTACATATTATTCAAATTGACTACTCTAGTTATAAGTTTGAAATTATTTGGTTTTGAGTGTGTTCTATTATGGGTGCTCATATATATTATATATATTTCTTGGATCTCTACACTATAATTAATATACTCATTATACTCATTTTCCTTATATATACCAAATATTCAGTCCTGTACCTTATTCTTATTAGTAGATACTACAAGCAGATTATATTATGTATACCTGTTCAATGTGTGTCTTTCAAGTGTCTAACTTAATACATAATTATTAATGTTCTTTAGTTTTTCTATTTTTGTACTCTAATTAATATTTATACTAATTACTAATACTGTACTAAGTTAACAGTATTATTCTTGTTATAGATTTTGGTCTAAACAATATACTATTATACTATGTGTCAAATACTGTTTAAATATGTATAGTAATGAGTACTATATTATAAACTCACTATCTTTATAAAGTCTTTACTCTCTAGACAAGTAAAGTGTTAGGACACAAACATTTATCAGTATATATATGGTAATCCCTCACATAAAGTGTATAATAGAACTCTTATTATATATATTAGAAGATAGAGACAGTCACTTTTTCTTCTACTCAAAACAGTTTACTATCTCAAGTATAGTAATAATTGTATATAATGGCATAATAATTAAGATTTACACTCTTTAATTGTATTATTGACTTAGTGTTCTTTTTTAAGAAATAAAGTAGATTTCAATTAATTAAGATAGAATATACTTAAATTTTCTCTATATTTTACTGAAAATGTAGACTAGATAAACTATTAACTATAAAACAATTTATCTGTACATATATTATATTCTGAACTTACATATCTCTGTTTTACTAAAGTCAGTCTTCTTAATGAATATCATTTACAGTTCAGAATATAAGAGTACTAGTAAAGATTGATTTTGCAATTTGTCTAAACAATTAATACAATATTTTATAGTATGTTTAAATAATACTTTGTATGTTGTATCTCTACATTATTCAAGCAATAAAACTGAGAGAGACAAGCCTATTATATTTCTTACTAACCTCTGAAACACATATAAGTGTATATAGAAAAATAAGATATCTTATAAGACTATAATTTTTTTACAGACTCACTATAGAAACCATCTGATCTACTGTTATAGCTCCATTATACCAAAGGTCAAGTTTAAAGTAATTCCAGCAATCTTACTCTAATCTGGCTTGTCTGTGTGTCTGACCTAGTAAGATTCATAATGATCAATATTAAATTGCAGACCAAGTCTCTATGAAGACTTGCACCTCTTCCTAACCTTGTTGCTTTGAATTACATTTTTGTTTTAGTTATCTTTTTCTCACAGAGTGTGCATGAATCTATATAGTAAAGACAACCCCCCCCTTGCGACTGTGCCACATCTTTAAAGTCCGATGATTAGTCATAAAACTAGACTATTTGTAGTATGTACTAAGCCTAATACAGTCAAATTTCTGAGACGCGTCTCATTCCTGTCTGCAAAACCTGCTACCCGTGAGAATATTCTGCTAATTCTGTTCTGTCTCTAATTATTATACCAGTGTATAGAATTAGTACAATAGTAAGGAGCAACAAATAAAATAGACAGTTTTTCTAATAAACATTTAATTACACATAGTTAATTTCCTTCCCCTCTGTCTCTTATTACTACTTTTATTAAAGTTACTACTTTCAGTTCTTCCCCTAATATGTGTACATAATTAAGTGAACCTTTCTATTACTATTACTCTATACATGTGTACACTAGAACTACTTTAGACACTAAGCTATGATTTTCATTGTGACTGATCTATTAACTGTGTATCTATTGTGTGAATGCACATATTACCAAATACCCAAATGCTACATAATCCTTAGTATAAAGAGAGTCATCCTAAGCAAAAGTGTAGTCTACAAAACCACTCCAGTTACTAACATCCTATTTTTTATCTCTGAGAGCCTAGAGTGTTATGCTAACATGTAAAGCATTACCTACTACTAGAGGCTACATGAGTATGTATACAATCTTTTCTTACAGTACAGGATTAAACACAAGATGTTTCTAACATGTATATAGTACAAAGGCATTGATAACACCAAGTAGACTGTAGACATGCACAAGCTGGATAAACTATTAGAAAACATACAGGACATACAGGAGAAAGATGAGAAGCAATAAAATAATGGAAGAGAAGGGTAAAGGTGATGAATACAGAGTAAAAGTGGAGGTAGTGTTACATGTGTTCATACTGTTCAAATTGAGTAGAAATGGAACTTGCAAAGTTGCTCAGAGAAACAGAGTAAGTATGTTATTAGAATTGGTCTGTTTTGTTAAGCAATCTAGCACTTCCTCCTATATTACATACAGGCAAAGTAGATAGATAAGGAATATGAAGAATTGATCAAACTATACTAGAATTTGTACAATGAATAGTAGATAACAAAATCAATCATGATTAGTCTATGTTTGATCAAAACTGTAGCACATGTATTAATACAAAGTATATGAATTAGTATGAAAGGTTTGTAAAATCAGTAAACAAAA